GTAGCATTTAAAGGTTCTCGTATTTGGGAGACTGTCAAATTAGGTGTGCCCATAAAGAGGTAGTGCAGCTAGCCAGCTCAGTATAACTTTCAAATAAGCAAAGAGGGAAAATGGAAAATAAAAAAATCCAGTAGAAAATAGGAAAGGAGAACAAAAAGGCAATGTGAAAACATTAAAACTAAAACTCACACAGTTAAAAACCTCATAGATTAATACCCAATAATTGACATGTAAAATTATTGCCACTTACCAGATTTGTGTCTCATACAGATTCATAAAAATGATAAAGATGTTAAAAAGATAAGAGTAGGGTTATGTTAACCAAAAGTACCCTGAGGTAGCTATAATATCAGACAAAATGGTCCTTTAGACAGAAGCATCACATAGTGATATAAAGACCAAACAGTGTAATAAACCTGAAGTCGAATGCACTCAGCTATATAATTTCCAATGTATAAACACAACTTGACAGAATGAATACACATCTCATTGAAACTAGCAGATAAGCATATTAAAAATTTTTGCAACAAAATGGACAGGCTTGATCTAATGGGCATGTATAAACCTTGCAGTGAGAAGTTAGAGAAAACACACTCTTACCAAGCAAATGTGGAGCGTCTACAGGAATTGACCGTGCCAGGCTGCAAATCTCAGTGGCATCGAGGAATTGTCATCACACAGACCATGTTCCGTGACAATGGTCTGATGAAAGCACACTTGTAATAACTAATAGCTAGGAGAAAAAAATCATAAGACACAAATTATAATTTATTGGATGGCTACAGAAGAAATTGAAGGAAAATTTAGCATTTAATGCATACATTAGAAAAGGAAAATGATGGAAAACTAATTAAGTATAGAAGTTAGAAAAGGGGAATGATGAGTACTGTTCTCTGGAGAGGAGGAAAGGCCAGAGCAGGCTGTAGCTGCATTCTAGAATGTGCACGTTTTAACAGTGTCCTAAGTCAAATACGTTAAAACGTTAGTGTCAAATCTTGATGTTTTGTGAGGGGGTATCTATTATATTAATACCTATATTTTTCTGCATGTTTGGAATATTTCAGCATTTAAAAATTTTCAATCAAAAGTAATATTGTTGAACAAAATAATTAGGCAAGAGAAGATAGGGGAGGTTTGAATTTGAAGGCAAAAAGGCTATATTACTGTTATTTGAGGAAGACCATGTCTGTGTAGAAAACCCAAGACAATCAACTCACAAACTGTTATAACTAATAAAATAGCTCAGTAAAGTGGCACGATAAAAGAAAAATATATATGGTAGACAGAATAACACCCCCTCCCCAAAGTCGTCCATGTTCTAATCCCTGGAAAGTTACTTAATCCATGTTACCTTGCACGGCACAGAGACTTTGCGGATGTGACTGAATTGAAGTTTTTGAGATGGGAGGATGTCCCTGGGTTATCCAGGTGGTCCCAGTGTGGCCACAGAGGTCCTGAGGAAATGGAGGCCAGAGGGCTAGATTCAGTGGTAGGACATCTGACAATGGAAACAGGTTGGAGTGATACAAGCCTGGGACCACTGCCAAGGAGTGAGGGTGGCCCCTACAAGCTGGGAATAGCAAGGGACAGATTCTCAGCCAGGGCCTCCAGAAGGAAGGCAGCACTGCTCACACGTTGATGTTAGGGTTTCTGACCCCACCACTGTAAGATAATAAATTTGTGTTGTTTTATGCTACTACAGTTTGTGGTGATTTGTTACAGAAGCCACAGGAAATTAGTACAGTATATTGAAGATTGCTATCTAGTAGTTTTCCCATAAACCTTAAACCATTTAGACAGAAATAATAATAGAAATGAAACCAATTGACAATAGTAAAGAAAATAAAAGAATAGTTAGAAATATATCTAAAAATAAATGTGAAGATCTATACAAAGAAATTTATAAAGCCTTTCTAAATAGTTAAGAAGATCTGATATGGATGTTTAAACGATGCCCTCTCAACATCATCAAGAGGGCAGTTTTATACAAATCACCTACAAATGCAGGTCTTTCTTCATCAAAGTACTATTGTTATTTATTTATTTTTATTGAGACAGGTCCTTCCTCTGTCCCCCAGGGCTAGAGTGCAGTGGCCTCATCATAGCTCACTGTAATCTCAAACTCCTGGGCTCAAGCGATCCTCCTGCCTCAGCCTCCCGAGTAGATGGGACTACAGATGTATACCACTATGCCCAGCTAATTTTTCTACTTTTTATAGAGATGGGGTCTTGCTCTTGCTCAGGCTGGTCTCAAGCTCCTGGCCTCAAGTGATCTCCCACCTCGACCTCCCAAAGTGTTAGGATTACAGGTGTGAGCCAACACACCCAGCCAAAGTACTATTTTTTAAATGGAACTTATAGGATGATTTTAAAATCTTGAAGATAAAAATTGAGAAAATTGCCCCCAAAAGTAATAGTTGTTGTTATTGATGTCAAAACATGCTTCAGTCATCCTGATTTAGCAAATGTGATGTAGCTGTAGCAACAGGCCAGTAGATGAGCGGAAATGAATACCTTTTTCTAGATGGGCAGCCAGGGCAGCCTTCGGTGGAGGTGACATTTCTGGCAGACTTGACCCTTGAGAAACAGCAGAGGACACCGAGGAGAGTTCCCGGCCAACTGAAGAAGGAACCAGCTCGGTGTGTTTCAGGGAGAGCAGGGACTGCCCCGCCGGGGGGAGGTAGGAGGAAGGATAGAGAAGATTCAGGAAGGCTGATACCATGGATATAAATTATTCTCCATTATCTGTCTTCCTGATTTCTTCCTGAAGGCTCAGGTTTACTCACCCACCTAGGGAGAGAGCTGTGAATTGAGCAAGCTGCCTGGCTCCTGACTGGCACTTCTGGCCCTGCCGAGCCGCAGCGCGGCGTGAAGGTGGCTGCCTCACGGCCGGGGACGGGGCATGGAGCCGCCCAGGAGAGCCCGCCCTGGTCTGTGTCCACTGGGCAGCCCTCGGCGTGCCTTTGCGTCGGTGCCTCCCAGGTACGGCGGATGGCCATTTAGGAACGCCTTTTCAGTCTTAGTCTGAGCCTAGTTTGGCCAGAACACAGAGAAATGATGCGTTGGGATAGGCAGCCCAGACTACAGCAGAGTCACCACTTCACACTGTCAAATCAGAGTAGATCTTGTGTTCCACAAAGGTGGAACGACATGGGGTCCAGCAAACAGGGGCTTCGTGAATGCAGGTCTCGGCAGCCTCCTGTGGGGCTGAATTAATGAAGACTGTACATCCAAAATTCCATCCTGCGTCATTCAGCCCATCTTTTCAAGGGGTTGTCATCGGCATTCCAGTTGCCTTCCAGCTTTGTGTCATCTGTAAGAATTACCTTCTGCAACGTAATCCAGCACATTGAGAAGGGGTGGCTAGGAGAGAATCAGGGGGAACCTAGCGATGTTATTAATAATAGTCATCAGTAGTAATCTCTGCTAACCAGTGACTATTCTGCGGACAGGGAGCTGTCCACTGTCCCTGTGAGCAAAGACCGTCTCTTCGCCTGGAAATCCACGGCCTGGCTCCCTCCCCAGCCACCTCCAACTGCCTAACATCTGGGCCCAGCAACCACCCTACAACACTCACACCCAGGGGAAATCCTATAATTTTCCGGTTGAATCAGTAGCAGCAGATACATGCCGTCTTTCAACGTCATTTAAAAAGAAAGGATCAGAGCCAACCAGAAAAACCAAAAGATTCAGAATCTATTTTAAAGTCATCTTCAGATTACTCTCTTATTTTAGTTTTATCTGATGTAAGTTCATCTCTGATGGTTGTCACGTCTAGCATTAGTTTGCCTTATGTGTAACGGCATTTTAGTTTGCATGTTTGTCTGGTAAGAGAGTAGTCCTCCAGCCCCTACCACACCACACACACACACACCCCCCACACCAGGGCAGCGTTTCCAGCTCCCTTGTTGGGAGTAGCGCCTGCTGCTCAGGGTCTTCCAGGATCTTGTGTTCCCTCCTGCACGTGAGCCCTGGACTGCTCCCGCCTGTCCCTGGCCTGGACACAGCAGGACAAAGCCTTCAGCGCCCCTCAACGCGCAACTTCTGTTCTATTTACAGGCCAGGGACTGGCTTGACTTTGGGATGTCCATGTTTTGTCATACGTTTTCTTTCTAAATTTTACTTCCTGTGGCTTTATGCTTAATGGTATGGAAGAAGGGGAAGAGAGACTTTCTGAGCATGAATTCCTGACAGTCCCGATTACAGTTAGTGTCTAGAAAGAGAAATACAATTGATTCTCATTATTTTCAGATTTCACGTTTGCAAGTTCACCTAATGGCTAAAATCTGTTTGTAACCCCCAAATCAGTACTCGTGATGCTTTTACAGTCTTTCAAAGACATGCCCAAGGCAGTAAAGAATTGAGTCGCGCAACGCACCTGTTCCCAGCTGAGGTTGAATAAGGTAACGCGCTGCTTCCTGGTCTCCGCTCTCACCTGTGAACGTGTGTCCGGTTCTTGGTCGGTTCAGTGCCACATTTCTCACATGTTTGTGCTTTTATTGGTGATTTTGCTACTTAACATGGCCCCAAGCATAGTGCTGACACGCTGCCTGGTGTCCTGAGCGCAGGAGGACCGTGACGTGCCGTATGGAGAAAATCCACGTGCTAGAGAAGCTTCGCTCAGGCGCGAGTTACGAGGCTGTTGGCCGTGAGTTCAGTGTGAATGAATCCACAGTCGTGTTAAATACAGTGTCTTTAAGCAGAAACACACACAAGCCAAGGTTATGTATTGACTGGTTGATGGAAGCATGAGCAGAGGCTCACAGGAATCTGACTCTGTGTTTCCCCTGGGAACAGTGGTTCCCCACTCACTGGTTCAGTGTTCACTGCAACATTCTAGAACATAATCCTGCAGATAACGAGAACCGACCAGAGGTATGTATGTGAGAGAAAGTCGAAGCCTCCTGCAGGGCAGTTCCTAACAGAGCCCCCGGCAGCCCTTCCTCACAGCCCTCACTGAAGTTTGCTCCTTTGTGACCCTTTCCTTGCTCTCCTTGCAGGTTACTTTCTGAATTTTCTGGAGCCCGTAAACAATATCACCATTGTCCAAGGCCAGACAGCAATTCTACACTGCAAGGTGGCGGGAAACCCTCCCCCCAACGTGCGGTGGCTGAAGAACGATGCCCCGGTCGTGCAGGAGCCGCGGCGGATAATCATCCGGAAGACAGAATATGGTTCTCGACTGAGAATCCAAGACCTGGACACGACAGACACGGGCTACTACCAGTGCGTGGCCACCAACGGAGTGAAGACCATCACTGCCACCGGAGTCCTGTTCGTGCGGCTGGGTGAGTCAGGACGGCCAAGGTGTGTGGGTTAGCAGATGGGAATGTTCACAGCCACCAAGCCAGAGGTCAGTTTGCCGTTTGAAACTGAACACGCACAAGTCAACGTGAGAGGAAATCCGTAAAACCATCCCCGAGGTCTTTCCCACTGTGCCCAAGATCCCAGCTTAACCTGCTCCCTGTTTACTACGAATAAAAGAAAACGGATGCAGGTGGAGTGGTCTGTAAACCTGGGGCTCCGAAAGTAACCCTAGACACGCTGGGTGGGCTGAGAGGCCCGGCGGGAAGGCCGCGTCCCGGGAGGCCCGGTCTCCAGGGGCTGCCGCGGGGGTGGTGCGGCCCCGCCTGCCCGTCACAGCTGCTGCCCTGGCTCCGCGAAGCCGCGTGTGCCTATCGCCCCACTGCAGCCCCGCCCTGGGGTGGGAGAGCGCAGAGCACCCAGAGCCGTCTGAACTTCATGCTCATCACATGTGGGGAGGGAATGACATGGCGGGAAGGGATGTGCCCCCTTCGTCCCAGCTGTGACAGGGTCCAGCCCTGTCCCCCACGCCCACATCATTGCATCACAGGTAGAGAACAGCCGCTGTGTTTAAAGATTAGATGAGAAGAGAGAAAGGACAGCGGAAACTCCAAAATATCTCCAGAAGTATCTGCAAACACGAATCCCTTCCCCGTGGTTTCCTGCACCGCTGGAATGTGACCGTGGGCAGGAGCGGAGCCAGCCGAGGACGGCCAGCCACCGCTGAGCACACAGGCTCCAGCCCTCGTTGCCGCTGGCTTGACTTGAAAAAAGTTGTATTCCAAATCATGAAGTATTAATAACTTGTTTTTTTGTTTCATCTTTTTAGGTCCAACGCACAGCCCAAACCATAACTTCCAGTAAGTATCCGTTTTCCCCAAACCATTTTCTGACGCTCTGAGGGTTTCCGGTATATGAGAATCCAGGTTTTAAATCCCGCCAGCTCATGTCTTTGCTAGAAGTTGGCTGGGCTTCACGCAAGGATGGCAGTGCGCTTGTCTTGAGTTGGGAAACATCTGCATTTTCCATGTTTAGCGTAAAGAGAAAATGTCATGGAAACAAAAATTGTTAATTTACTTCAGTGATCATGACCTTACACAGGGCAACTGAAAGGAGCGTAGACCAGACCGCCGGGGCCGGCGGGACCCTGGCTCACAAGGACGTTTGGAGACAGGGAGATAGTTCTCACTCTGAAATGCCAGGGCCACCGGTCCTCAGTCAGTAAACGGTGTGCCCAGGGGCCTCAGGCCACCTCTGACCAGGGAGGGGTCTCAGACCCACCTTACAGGTGAGAAGACTGAGGTCTCACCAGGCTCACGGCTGGCACCTTAGCGAGCTGCCGACAGCACCTGGCTCCTTCCCTGCCGTGGCATCAGGGGACCCATTTCTCCTCATCTTCCATAAGATGGTTTCCAAACGTGTTCATTTTTGCCAAATGAAAAATGAATGATCAAAAAATCAATAATCCCCATATCCCCATATCCCCCATTTCTGGCGAGGCTGAGCCTGCTGGTGTGTGCTTTGGCGCTCACGTTTCCTCTAGTCAGTGGCTGCTTCCTGGCCTTGGCCCATTTTCCCTTTACCTTGTTTGTTTCTTAACGATTTTTAATAATTATTTGTCTTCTTAGTCATATGAAAATTAAAATTTTTCTGTTATATATTAGTAATTTGTGGTTTTATCATGTTGTGTCTCAGTAAAGAAGGCCCCAATTTCCTTGAAAAATTCTGATGATATTTTGATTGGAATTACAATGAAGTTTTAGGCAGATTTGGTGAGAATTAAGATCTAAATTGAATTTTCCTATCAAGGATCACTTTCTTTGTGTTTCAAGGTATTTTTTCCCTAACATTTTATCATGCAAAATTTCAAACATACGAGAGTAGAAGGAATTTTCCAGCGAGCGTCTGTGTACCCCCCAGCCAGATGCTGACATTTCCTCTCTAGCTAGCTTTGCCTCTCCTCTGCTGTCCACCTGTCAGCCATCTTATTAACTGCATGGTAAGTTGCAGAGGTTTGTACACGTACTCTGAAATACTTCCACATGGGTATCATTAACAAAACATCAATACCTGTTTACTGTTCTTGTTTCTTCTTTCTGGGTTAAAATTGACGCACAATGAAATGCACACATCTTAAGTACCACTAATAAGGTCCAGCAAATGCATAAATCTCTGTCTGGCATAGAACATCCATCACTCTAGAAAGTTCAGTCATGCAGCACCCTAGTCAGCTCTCCTCCTCCCAGGCATCCACCATCCAGACTTTTTCCTACCATGGACTAGTGTTACCTGTTCCAAAACTTCGTAGAAATGAAATCCTCCAGCAGGTAGCCACTTAAGCCTGGCTTCCTTCACCTAGCACACTGCTTTTACAACGCTCCTGTGCTGTGCACATGTCAGGAGGTTGTTGCTGTTCACTGCTGGATAGTCCCCTCATGAACACGGCAGTTGGGTCATCTGGTCCCCTGTTGATGGACATGTAAACAGATGCCAGCTTTGACTGTCACAAATAAGGCTGCTGTGGATATTCTGATGCAAGTTTTTTGTGGACATGTATTTTCATTTCTGTTAGTGTTACCTAGGAATGGAACTGTGGAGTATGAGTACGCTTAATTTTACAAGTTCCTAGACCTTTTCTAAAGTCTTGTAGCACTTCGAACTTCCACCTGCAGCGGAGGAGAGCTCTGGCTCCTCTCCATGTTTGCCCACATTTGGTGTGGTCGGCCTTTCTAAGTGTAGCTGTTCTGGTGTATGTGTAGTGATTGAAGTGATCTTTTGTATCATTCTGGCTTCTTGAAAAATAATTTTTATTAGTCATTTTTAAATTTTCAAATAAATGTATTTAAGACTATGACGTTTCCACCGAATACCGTTTTGGCTCTGTCTCTCCCCCAACCCCCCAGGCATTTAGGCTTTTCTTATTTGTTATTGTTTTCTAATTTTTTTTGCATAATTATCAGTGAATTTGGGCTGTTTATATTTTACTCTTGATAAATTGTTGAGATTTTCCTTATAGCCAATTAGACATGGTCAATTTTGTGACTATTTCTTGTTTCAAAAAGTAAGTGTGCTCTGATGGTGACATTCATTTCTTGATTCATAGATCAAGTGTGTTCAATGTGTCAAAATATATTTTTTTGTCCTCATGGATAAGAGATATCTGAAAATTTGTGAAAGTCATCCACACTAATTCTTGGATTAGCCAATTTCTATCAGTTTTCTATTTTTTATGTTTTGTGTGTATGTCCTTAAATACCTATAGATTTGAGGCTATAGAGCTTTTTCATTGTTGTTTCTTTTACAGTTCCTTTGAATGTATTTTGCCTCGAATTCAGTTTTTCCTAACAATAATAGAGTTACATCTGCTTTTTTTGTTTTAATTTGCATTTGCCAGGGACCTTTTTTACTATTCCTGCCCCATTTAATTTTCAACCTTTCTGTGTTCTGTTTTATGTAAATAGTATAGGACTAGATTTTTTTTTGGAGGTTGGTGAGGAGGATTTTCCAATCTGAAGTCCATGTTAATACATGTAGATAAAGTTCATTTTAACTAATACACACACAGTATTTCATTCTGTGAGTCAGCGCTACTTTAGTCATGCATTGCTTGCTGAGTGAAGATTGGTTCTTTCCGCTGATACAGACCGTCTTGCAGAGGACGTCCGTCCCATGTCTCCTGGTCCCTGTGGGCGAGAGTCCTCCCAGGACAGAGATCAGGGAGTAGAATTTCATGTGTGCACCTCCTACGTCTTCTAGGAGTGGCCATACTGCCCTCTGCGGTGACCAAGGAATTCGTGGTCTCTTCAGCAACACATGACTTATCATTTCCCTGTGTTTCCTAGCACATGGTATTATCAGAGCTTAACATTTTGACATACTGTTGGGTGTCAAATAGTAATCTATAGTAATTTTACTTCAGATTTCACCAGTAAATAGTGAGGTTGGTTTAATAGCCATAGAATTGCCTGTTCATATACAGCCTGTCTTCATTACTCCGTATTTGCAAATTCACATATTTACTAAAGTTTATTTGTGACCCCAAAACCAACACTCACAGTGTTGGTTTTCATGGTCATTCCCAGACACGCACAGTGGTGAAAAGTTCAAGTCGCCTGACATACACATTCCCATCTGAGGTCAAAAAAGGCAACACTCTGCCTTCTTGAGTTAGTCCTCATACTGCAGGCAGGCATCCTTTTTGTGGTTTGTTAGGTATCATGTTTTTCATATTTTTGTGCTTTTGGTGATTTCCATGTTTTAAATGGTTCCCAGGTGTAGGGCTGAGGTGCTGTCTAGTGTTCCTAAGTGCGAGAAGGCTGTGATGTGTCTTATGGAGAAAATAACCTGTGTTAGAGAGGCTTCATTCAACCACGAGTTATAGTGCTGCTGGCTGTGAGTTCAGTGCTAACAAATCGATAATATATATTAAATAAGGTGTCTTTAAATAAAAATGCTCATTGAACAAGGTTATGTATTTATTGGTTGAAGCAAATGTTGTGACCAGAAGCTTACAAAAAACTAACTCTATATTTCCCCTAAAAGTGATGGCTCAGTATTCACTAGTTCAGTGTTTGTGACTACATCTTAGAAAATAACTACCACAAGTAACCAAAATAGACTTTACTTTGTCTGTTTTTCTGTTAGGATATTTGTCTTTTTGTTAGTGCTTTGTAAGAGCTTTAAAATAATTTCTAGGTATGCTCCTTTACATAGTTTTTACTCCATTTAGAATTGATTGTTTATGCTGGTATGAGCTAGTATTCTACTGTAGTATTTTTCTGTATAGATGGCCTAGTGCCTTGGTACCATCTAATAAATGGCCCCACCTGTAATCATTAAATTTGACATTACCTCTGTCCTATGTGAAATTTCTATACATACGGGTCTGCTTGTAGGCTCTCTATTTTGTGCCAATAGCTTCTGTTCCTGGACTAATACCACACTGTTCTAACAGTATAGCTTTGTAATATATCTTGCCATATGTAGGGAAAGATCCCATCACCTATGAATTGAACTGTGTCCCCCCAGAATTCATATGTTGAAGCCCTAACCCAATGTGACTACTGGAGATGGGGCCTTTAAAGAGGTGACTAAGGTTAAATGAGGTCATAAGTGTGGAGCCCTGATCCAACAGAACTGGTATCCTTATAAAAGAGAGACATCAGAGATCTCTCTGTCTCTCTTTCTTTCTCTGTCTTTTTCCACTATGTGAGGACTCGGCGAAAAGGTGGCCACCTAGCCCCACCAGGAACCAAACTGGCCAGCACCTTGATCTTGGACTTCTAGCCTTCAGAGTGTGAGAAAACACATTTCCATTGTTTAAGCCACCCAGTCAGTCTATGGTATTTGTTATGGCCTCTCAAGCTGACTCACACACCTACTTTATTACTATACCACATTACTCTTACACATTAATTTTATGCTTGTATTTTTATTGGAATTGTATAGAAGTTTGACTGTGAGAGAACTGGGCTATTTTTAGTTTGTGGTTTAATGTTTTTTTAAGTTTTCTATGCCCCTTTCAACAAAGTTTTGTAATTTTCTCCATGAAGATCTATCTGGCACACCTTTTCTTACATGTATTCCCAGATAACTCATTGATTCTGCTAATGATGATGTTATCTTTCTTTCCAAATGTTATTTTCAAATTGTGTGTTGATGGTGGTTGAGAAAGACATTAAATTTGGGGTACTAATCTTGTACCCAACAAATTTGTTGAACTTTTTCATTTTGTTATTTCTTCTGCAACATTTTTTGGATTTTTTTCTGTGGGGAAAGCAATGTCTTCTACAAATGAGAGTATAGTTTACTTTTTTCTATTCTTACCCTTTATTTTCTTTTCTTGTCTTATTGCACTGCT